ATCAAATACAACTTTCAAATGAACTGTATGGAATTTTATGACTTTAAAGCGTGAAACGGCGCTATAAAAAAAATAATTCTACTGAAAAGTATCAAAATTAATGTTATTTAAATTTTTACAATGTGTGTATGTGTAATAATTCAGATTGTTTAAAATTTTAATGTATGCATTGTTGTATGCTACTATTTTCGTAATAAATGTTATAAACTTATGAATTTTATAAGGTATTTTTTGATTTTCTTCGATATGTCCTTTATTTTCCCCCAAAAAATATGGTCACTGTAAGTATACAGGGTGTTAAAATAAACACATTCAGAATTTATATGGTTGATAGTACACTTTATCATACTGAGTAAAAAAAAGGAAAAACGCATCCATTTTTGAGACAAATTGACAAAAATCTGAAATTTTTGAAAATTTACGACTCTAAGATGACAAGCCTCCATGGATTTTAGTAGGAGGAAACATGGAACACTTTTGTAATATGGACAAGGTAAAAACTTGGCAAAATTATCCTATCATTTGACATTGCACATGACATGTAGAATCCAATAAATCAGTCATGATACTAACATACAAAATTGTTAATAATATTTTGGAAACGATTGCGTTTTTTATTCAGTATGATGCATACCATCTACCTTATAAATGCTGAATGCTTTTTATTTAACATCCTGTATAATAATTTTGTTCTATGCCTATGTTATATTATAAATAACTTCAAAACCGACAACTGGATATTAGGATTGTTTCTTCCTTGACCATAAAACAACTTTTTTTTTGGTCTAAGATTTCAGTTATTCATATGGATTGTCTTTCAACTGAAAAAGTTCCTCCGAAAAGAAAAATTAATTCAAATGAAAATTGGAAGTGGGAATTATTGTAGAGAAAAAATATTTTTTCTATGACTTAAAATAATGTAAAGATTTTTACTAAAAGCCTGATAAAGATAATATTAAAGTCATCAGTAGACCGGTTTTAAAATGTTTGATAAAGGACCACGAAAAACATTGTCATAAACTATGTGCAAGCAGTAGACTTAGTCTTCGATCACACAATTACGTAGTTAATGAATCAGATGTTTGGCTTTCAAAATAATGAATTACATAGCCTTTATTTATTTATTAGACATTTACCAATGAAGTATGTTCCATCATTTTTTTTTTTTTTTTTATTTTGTACCGGTATTATAGATGATTTGAAACATCCTTTGATACCGAAATAAAAACTGTACTGTCAAACTTATATGTATATCCTGTATAATAATAGAACATTAGTTAAATGTAACTTGCCTGAAAAATTCTCACAGAAACTTACATTTGCATGAAAATCTAAGGAATGTTTATGAAATTCCAGGATTTCCATCAAACAAACTTTTCTAATAAATGTTTCTTAGTGAAAAATTATCTTTAAATTATTAAAATCTATCTAATCCAGACCCTTATTTAACATTTTGTCCAAAAAATAAGAACAGTTTGAGTAATATAATAAGTCCTGGATTCATTTCACAAGCTTTTTTTTCTGCTACTATATCATGATCACATTTTTATCTAATGGTATCTAATGATACAGGTTGACCCAGATCCCTTCAAAGTGAAGGGAAGTGAACTTCATCAAAAATTCTAAATATTTTGTAATTAAATCAGATACGCTCTATCGAATGGTGATATTTTCAACTTCCGATACTGGCCGAAAATGGTTTATCCAGGTTGAAAGTTAAATTTTTTAAATGGAACATGGTATTTTTTAATTTAGATTCAAATTAAATGCAAAAATTGAGATAATTTTATCTTGAACATTTTTTCTGAAAATGTCTACATCAACCATAAAATAGTCTGGAATGATGAACTTTTCTTGGTGAATCCTTATTATGAGCCATTTTGTCATGACAAAATGGCAACAAGTAGAAACATTATGCTTGTGTTTACATTTCATTTCAAAGAAGTTTCCATTTTCAGTTACACATCTATCAAAGATACAATATCAAATTTAATGGCAAATTTACTAATTATTAAAAGAAGAAATTTATTAACAGAAAATGATGATGCAAGGATGAAGACAAACATGTAAACATATATGATCCTCTCAAACTACATAACTGTTAAATATTATATATTTTTGTGATGGAATATGCTGATGGAAATTATCTGTTAATTCATCAAGTAACTAGCTGTTAGGCTGTATAGGGTAATTTGATCTTATTATAAAATTCTTTGCAAATTAATTATTTTTCTTCAATAAATAAAGATTTATTTTTAAATATGGTATAAGAATTTTTCTTGTGAAAACACAAGAAAAATTAGAAATTATAGTAGTTACATAAGCATAGCAATCAATGTCTAATGACATTTTATATAAACTTTGAGTAATTATTACATTTTTCTTTAATAACTGGAATAAAAACGGAAAATTTGAGAAACTGTTATTCAAAAATATTTATTTACTATATTTATTATTAAGTTATTAAAATGCATAAAAATATGTTGCATTTTGTCATCAGAGAAAGCATGTTAAAGCTTTTTTTTATTTATCTTGAATTCTTACACTTCAAAAGAATTCAATGAATTCTAGAAACAATACATAAATATTAAATATTCCTTTAGATACAAAACGTTAAAGTATGTAATTAAAATTACATATTTTTAAATAAAGAAAATTTTCAAATTTCTATTTTAAAATATTTTAAATTTTATAAATTAGTCTGAAAAAGGAAAACTTTTTTGTGTCAAAAATAGAGATCAGCTTGATCTAAATTACCTAACAAAAAATAAAGAAAATTTGCACTGGAATTATAACTGGATGGAGAGGTTGATGTTTAAGTTATGTGATAAAAGAAGGAACAGATTAGTCTGGATTCTCCTGGAGAAGAAGAAAAAGAAAAAAATACATTAAACTGTTTTCCACAAATTGTTAGTTTCACAATATATTTGAAAACACTAAATAAAACAATATTATTGTTAATTTACAGCAGGAAGTTCTCATATAAACATCAAGCATTGAGAGAGATCTTATCAATTTATTTATGTAACATTCTATTAAGTAAATTTTTTAAAAATTCGAAAAAGTATTAATAATTTTTTATTTTTTATTTGAATCTCCATTTCTTCTAATTATTAAAGAATTATTAACTGTAAAAAAATTCCAAATTAATTAAATTCTTTGCAAGTTAATAGTATGAAAACAAAATTTTGCAAAATATGATTTTAAAATTTAGTTATTAGTTATATTTCTAAACTGTTATTTATATAATTTATAAGACATGTTTCATTAGAATTAATATTTTTAATGTATTGGAATAAGTTTTGAAAATAATGTAAAAATTTCATAAATTTTGAATAAACTTTTAACTTATACATTGATTTGATCTCCAAGAAAATTTGAACTAGGTCTATTTACAATTCTCATAAAATTAGAAGAGTGTCCATTGTTTTGCTCTTTATCACAAACCAGTTAGTGATTACATTGGACATTGTACTAGCCTAACATGTAATATTATAATCAGCAGATTACATAAGAATATATTATATTTTCTCTTCAATGGAAATTTTACAGATTCACATTATTCACTGGTATCTAAATAATATTGATGTTAGAATTTGAATATGGTAATTAGAAATGTCATGAAAATTGTTAGTAAAGAGTGTAAACTGTACAATAATTTCAGTTAATGTATTGACTCAACTGCTTTGAAAACTTGATAGTTATAAACCAGTTCAATTAACTGGTAGTCTATGGCCTAGCTTTTTATGAGTCAATAGTTTGGTATTGTTCAACTAGTTTTTCCCATCTTTAAATTCAATGCTTTTAGTAAAATTAAGAAAGACAATGTTTAATCTACTATACTTGATGAGAATACAATGATTTTTGTAGCAATATATCTACCTGCATTTGGAATATTAAATGAAGAAGAGATTTTGGTTTTTATTTAATTATTAACATAATCATATTATGCATTTACAAACTCAAATTTTTCTTTTTTAAGCAATCTCTGTGTATTATTAAGCAATTACCTTATAAGGATTTAAACTAATAAATTACTTCTTATAAACTACAATCAATAAATACTTATTCTTATATACATATATGAAAGAGTACTGTTTTCATCTAGAAGTCACTAAGAGAATCAGTGTTATGGATTATTTATTACATTATGTATGTTTTATAGTTAATCTAAAAATAGATTTAAAATAAAAGTTAATTGAAATTAATAAATCTAAATAAATCTTCTTTTATAAACCTATTTATTAATTTAAAACCTAAGAGTTTGCAAATAAGTATATAAAATGTTATGAACTAATTGTTGCAAGATGTAATGACTTGTTGCATAGATTTTTCACATATATTTTGACTAATCATTTAATAAACATTTTTCAATAAATTTATTCTAAGGAAGGTATTTTTAATATTTAAAGATTAATTTGTAATTGAAGAAGGTATTTTTTTAGAGAAAGAAAGAAAGAGTAAGAAAGAGTTCTTGTATTTAGATAAAATAGATAAATATCTTTAAAAGTCGATAATGGAAAAAATTGTTTTTAAGTGACAATTTGAGAAAGGTAAATAAATAAAATAAAATAGAAGATAAAATATAGCACTTATACATATGACAGAACTAATATAAAAGTAGGAAGTAATAATATGAAGATTATAACTGTGGATAGAATTAAAGAAGAAAAATAGTAATGAATTAATATGGATATGCAGATCTTAAATGGTTTAAGTTATTTATAAAATATTACTATTTTATTTTTGATATAAAGAACTCATGAAAGATTCTTACTATAAGAATTTAAATAGAGAAAGAAAATAGTTTAATTATATAATTATTTATTATTATTAATACAGTAATTATATTTATGGTAAATATTTTTTTATAATTGTAAATAAAACTAATCATTTATTTCTGTTAATAAGTAACAATGTAATATTTTAAAATATATCAAGTAAAGTTTTATAGATTTGTAGATTTTTTTTATTAATTTCTTTAATTATTATTATTGTAGAAACACTTGAAGTAAAACTTGAAAAGATGAATAAAAAGAAGAAAATACGTGAAGCTCTACAAGGCACATAATTTTATTAGTTTATTAAATTTATTTACAATGTATCTATGTGTATTAAAATATTTACTTAGATAAACAGTTTCTGTTGTATATTTTTTTTAATTATAAACAAATTTAATATGTTTATGTTCAATATCTGGAATTTTAAAACATCTTAAGATGAAAACCTTATATACTTTGTAAAATGTTATAAAGAAAAAAAAAAGTTTATCTGAAATTTGGGGATTTCGTATAACAATTTAAGTTTAGAAAAATTATGAAAATTAGATTTAATATTAAAAATATAAAAAAATAAATAATTTATTATATATTGAAATTGTTTCAGGCAAAATATCTGCCTCATTTTATTAATATATTCTATACAATATAAGTTACTAGTTACATTTATCCTCCTAATAAAAATAACGTTGTAAAGTAAGCTAATTTTTCACTTTTTATTGGACATCTTGAAGTGTATGACCTTTATAACATAGTTTGCATGCATAATATATTGCATTTTCATTTTATGAAAACTACAGAATATTGATTAAAATGTTTGTTAATTTATTAAATATGTTTAAGAATTCTTTTTAAACCCAAATTGTAAATAAGTGCAAAATTTATAAAGTTAGTTTTTTAATGATTTAATATATTTTTTTAAGATTATGCAATGCACTAAAGCAAAAAGTTATAATTTGTCCTTGAGATCATAGTTATTATTGATGGAACTCTGATAAAATTAATATAAGCAATTCGAATTGTTAAATAATGGATTACATTCAAAAATACAAGTTAAATATTTATAAAAATATTTCTGATTGTGAATATTTTAAAATTAAATACAGTACTTCAAAAACTATCTAAAATTACTTCTTTTTTTTTAATGCCCTTTGAACATGGATAAGTCTGAATTCATATAAAGTACCTAGCCTATATATATTATCAAGTTCTTGGAATTAACGATAAAAATTTTATTTATAGTCAAAATGTTGCTAAAATTAATATCCCGAAAGAAACTATTAACAAAAAATATATGTATAACATATAATATATCCATCATAAACTGTGAAATTTTTATAATAGAGTTTTGATGGATCAAGATGAACTGTAATTATTAAGCCAGTAAAATCCAAAAACAGTACTTCCGGACTTATGTTTAGCTTAAGGTTAACAAGTCAACCGAACCAATTTGCTTTTACAATTTTACTTCACTGCCTTTTTTTCCCTCTTACTAAATGGCTAGTGCATTTACTCCATATATAGTCTATAATCACACACAAAACAATTTATCCTCGGGTAAAATTCATGACCGAGCTTTCAACAAAACAATATACATTTTAAATTCATCAATGACCTTATCTGGATAAACTTTACAGAAAAAAAAAATTAACTTCCTCTTAATGTATGAGAAAAATTCTAGAATTTATTTTTTTGTATTAGATATTTTATAAACGTGCATTTGACACGGTAAGCGATTACATTTTTATTTGTTTATTTAAGAGGTAAGCAATCAAGGAAAATTACATCATTATTTTATCGTCTAAATATTATATCGAAACGATTAAGCAATTGATTAAGCATTATCTAATATGTGGTAAGAACGAAGAGGGATTAGAAATGAAGCAAAAACTCCGTTTTCTCGATGTTTATGTTGAGATATTAAAAGTCAAAAAACTTGACATTTAAATAGTGGCGCGTTATCATATGGGCAAAAATGGCCCCAAAACAGTCTTTATAAGAAACTATTTCCCCGAAGAAAAATTCCTGAAGTCAATACTATACATGGGGCCCCCTAATTCAAATTTGCCCGGGCCCCATGAAACTATAATGCGCTACTGCATTCACAAAAATATGGAAAAGTTAAATTTTTCAGCTTTAAGCTATACTTATATCCTTTTTAAATACGCCAATTCAGAATTAATTTTTCGGTTAATTTAATTTAAAATAATATCTTCGAGTTCATAAATAAAGCAAAAATAAAAAAAAAAAGTATAATTAATTTGCTGAGATCCGCATTTTAACATGTAATCTATGGACATTTTAACATATCCTTATGTTATCGATCTTAATTTTAGATATATAAATCACATCTTTTCGTATGAAAAACTCGGTAATATGCACTTTTTTATGTACCCTTTTTTAAATCCCGTTTCGACTGATAGATCCGGAACCCGCAAAGTACCGTACATAATAAACAAAATTATTTAAATGCAAATACAATTTTTTAAATCGTACTAAGCCGAATAGTCGCTTTTTTTTTCTATGGTCCGTATAATCTGCTGAACAGATGATGTTCCCGTACTTCCGATCACGTGAATAAAATGGCTAGAAGCAATTGGAGGAGGAGGGGAAAAAAGTCGCTTCCTGTTTCCTGTCAGAATGACCTGCGCGCTACAAAGACAGCACTTCTCTTTATTGCTATAGAAGCATCAATAGCGAGCACATGGTACTGTACATCGCATCACTTATAATGGACCTTAAATAAGGCGAAATCATATATTTTATTTGCGTGACATAAAATATATGTAAAGATCTCATTCCCAAATAATGCTATATTTACGTTTGGTATTATTATCAGGTAAGTGTTTTTTTTTTTTTAATTATTTTAATCTTATACAAAAATTAGATTTTTAAGAAGATTTGATTAGCGTTTTTTTTAAGTTAAAAAGCAATTTGTTTTAAAATATATACACCATTGGATGGTATTGGATGTATTCGTGATGGTCTTGTTTATATAAGAATTTATTTATTTCGCTCGGTTGTCAGTCTGTTATAAAAGATTGACCATAAAGTCAGGTAAAAGTACCTGTGTAAGTGGAAATGTGACCTGTGTTGTAACAAATGTCAGTGACCCTGAACCACTTAATCTTATCTTTTGTGAGGTCAAGCGATTGTGACCGTGACTGAAGGTGGTGTAAAAAGGTTCAACAGATGAATTATGAATGAAACTAAAATTACATTTTCCTCTTCTATAATCATTATAGGGAAAGTACATGGTTTATTTATATTCTATCTTTATTCCTTACCGGAAAGAAAAATAATCTTTTCATTATCATCTTGATTTGGAACCGCTTTATTGATTCTATTTTAAACTTTGTTCATTAGATAAATGTACAAAAGTTAAATGAGAATTATCTTAATTTGTAATAATAATAAATTATTATCGAGATTAACAAGGTCAGTTTGAAGTTATTCCTAAAGTAACCCAAATTTTTTAAAATTTTATGACGCACTAAACAGGTCTGAGTATGTAACATCCTGTTCCAATTAATTCCCACAAAATGATTAGTAATATCCAACTATAAATTTGCATAGAAAATATTAACATTGAAAAAAAAAAAGGAACTCGACTCTTCAAACTGGTGTTGTAATTATTATTTTTAAAATTATTGACCCAGATAGTTGGGTGGGTCGGGTTATCAGATTTTGAGAAAAGATGGAATTCTTCTAGGTCAAACGGTCATTGATTGATAACAAAGCACAATATCAAGTGCGAAAGAGTTATCAGTTCGAAACGTATTCTTTTATCTTTCTATAATGCTTTCTTATTAAATGAGTTTTGGTGCCATCACTCATCAATAAGCATTCGGGTCTGAAAGAAAAATTAGAGCGAACCAAAACGGCGTGGATCCTGATTATCTAATTTTTTAAATTATTATTATTATAGCTACTGTTTACACAACGTTATCTTTCTACCAATATCCTCTGTTTAAAAATTTGGACGATGACGAGCCAAGCGATTATGAAGTTTGGAAAGCGATCTTCACCTCACTAGCTAGATGGCGGGAGATGAAGAAAAAAAAGGCACAAAGACCTCATCATCATATTCAAAGAAGATCAGAAGGACGAGTTTGTTATAGTAAAGTTGGATGCTTTCAAGATGACGGCGCGTTTGATTATTTAAATACTTTGCCTGCTTCACCTGACGTCGTTGGCACGAAATTTATACTCCATACTCGAAAAAATGCCATAGAAGGTGACTTACTTCACTATAATGACAGTTCTTCTTTATATTTTTCTCATTTCAACGGAAGTAACCCTATTAAGATAATTATACATGGATTTGGTAGCAGTTCGAGAAGAGCTTGGGTGAAACAGATGACCGAAGCTCTCCTGTTTGTTGTAAGTTAATTCGTAGTTGTAATTAGTAATAAATTACAATTAAATCGTTTTTATCGAGATATCCTGTTTCCTTACATGTTTATTAAGAGGAAAGCTGATGGTAAACATGCTACATCCACAGGAAGATGTAAATGTCATCGTGGTCGATTGGGAGAAAGGATGTGCCCTTCCAAACTACGTTCAAGCAGCAGCTAATTGTCAGTTGGTCGGCAAGGAAATTGCATTACTCATCAAGATGATTAATTACGAAAGAGGCACAACGAATCAAGACTATCACCTAATCGGATTCTCTTTGGGAGCTCACGTTGCAGGATTCGCAGGAAGAGAGTTGAAGCATCTCAAGAGGATCACTGGTACACTTCCAAAAACATATGAGAATTTGATATAATTAAAGACATTTTTCAGAAGTTTTAAATTAAGTTTTATTCTAGGGTTAGATCCTGCTTCACCCCTGTTTGAAGGGTATAGTGCAAAGGTGAGACTAGATCCATCCGATGCAGATTACATAGATGTAATTCACTCCAATGGAAATAGTTTCTTGAAAGGCGGTCTTGGTTCTTTCGAACCAATGGGGCATGCAGATTTCTACCCAAACGGCGGAAGAATACAAGTCGGTTGCAATAACATCTTTATTGGAGCCATATCTGATATTTTCTGTATGTTTATGACAAATAATTACGTTAAATTTTGCAATATGAAATGTAATTTCTTTATAACTTTTGTATAAATATTTGTAGATGGAAATTGGCAAAGTTTATGTAATCACAGAAGAGCTTTCCGTTTCTTCATCGATTCCATACTTCCTGGGTGTATTTTTACCGCATTTAACTGTGAAAGCTTCGAAAAATTTATTTCGGGTCAATGCATCCCTTGTTCCGGTGATGGATGTGGACAAATGGGATATCATGCA